AACACTGCAGCATGATTTCATGTATACAGTACTTGGAATCTTGGGAACGATCTCCCATTTTAATCAAGATGTTACCTTCGTTGCAGTGCGGCAGTGGATTAATGCATAAGGGCTGGTTTGGATTCCCAATAAAATATTGGTCCAATACCAATATTTCCCAAATGTGTTTGTTTGTTTGTTTGTTGTTTAACGCCGCACACAGCAGTATTCCAGCTATATGACGGCTGTCTGTAAAATAATCGAGTCTGGACCAGACATTCCAGTGATTGACATCATGAGCATCGATCCACGCAATTGGGATCGATGACTTGTATCAACCCAAGTCAGTGAGCCTGACCACCCGATCCCGTTAGTCGCCTTTTACGACAAGCATAGTCGCCTTTTACGGCAAGTATGGGTTGTTGAAGACCTATTCTACCCCGGAATCTTCACGGGTCTTTCCCAAATGTGAATATGCATGTATATCAGAGAAACTATTCTGGATAAGTCTAGCAGATAACTTTTGTATCCATCTGATTAGTTGATTCATTTTAATTGTTTGAGTCCGTCTTATCGGTGCATTGTCGCTCACAAATGAATATATCGTGTTTATTCTTCATGACGTCACAGACGTTTTCGTGTCACGTCAAGGCCTTCAGCGACCCATGCTTGCCGTAAAAGGCGGCTTGTGAGTGAGTGCGTTGGATTTAACGCCGCTTTATCCAGTATTCCAGCTATATCGCGGCGTGTCAGCTTAATGTGGGAGGAAAGCCCGAAGTGATACGGGTCTCAGACGATTACCACTTCGGTGAAACCCTCGAGCACGGGCATGGTGCTGACAAGCCTAGAAACATAATCGGGGCGAACCGGGATTAGAACCCACAATCATTGGTTTCGTGCCCAGGGGACGCAACTCTGCACAGCGAATCGCGGCGCCTTAGACGACTGGGCCACCCGTGTCCCCTAAAAGGCGACTAACGGGATCGGGTGGTCAGGCTCGCTGACTTAGTTGAAGCATGTCATCGTATCCCAATTGCGTAGATCGATGCTCATGATGTTAATCACTGGATTGTGCGGTCCAGATTATTTACAGGCCGCCATCATATAGCTGGAATATTGCAAAACTGGTTACGTCAATGAGACTATAGTCTGACTCAGCATATAATATTGTGTTACGAAAAGGACACTATGTAACGGAAACCAACTCGGAATCACACATTAAAAGTCCCTGTTGAAATTCCCTCGTCATGGGTGGTGACCCAGACAGAGTTGCGTCCCTTAGGCATACCAGAATTCTGAGATCGTAGGTTCGAGTCCCAGATTCGTTTATGTTTGTCAGCAATATACCCATGGTTCACCAAAGAAGCAAATATTGAAATACTGTTGATAGCGGCGTTAGACCAAACCCCTAAATCACTTGTAGCTCGTACGTTGTTCTCTAATAAGTGTCTCCGATGTGGTCTCCTAGTGAAAGTCAATTGCCGGTAAACCTTTCTTAGTAACCCTTTACCAATACTCCTTGAGAGGACTTTGACACAGGCTTACCATCTTTATCCCCCCGTTCAATCATCGATTATAACAGCTGACTGCTTGTGTATATGCGTGTCAAAGTGATCGTTTAACAACAGCTGCTCATGGTGGTGAGTCGGCTTCCACCCAGAGCTGCGCCACCACCCAGAGAGTGGTGGCACGTGGTCCTGTGCACAGTGCACAGATCACTAATCAGGTGAAGTTAAGCAACGTTGGTCTCGGAGAGTAGTTGGATGGGTGCCCACGTTCAGCAGCTTGACTCCTGAGAGTTTCTGGGGCTTCGGTCCTGCCCCACAATGAAGCACATGTACCACATGAGGTGTCTCCATAGGCAAGTGACTTGGTTCGAAATGTGCCTCTGTTCATCCAGCAGTGAGTGGGTACCCGGTAGGATGGTAATGTGGCTCACAGGCAGCTTGGGTTGAATACTCCCCAGGGAGCTGAGAATGAAAATCGAGTGTTCACTGATCCATTGACCGGGGTAATAAGAGTGTAGCGCTATGAGCATCCGCTTGGTGAATGGAATCTGGCGCATTGTAAATGCACTTATTATTATTATTAGCTAGAATATAGCTAAACATAACAAGCCATTGAGGTTCACGCCGTTCCTCGCTCAACCCAATTTTCATCCCAAACTGGGTAATTTATGTCACGCTATTCTTACTGCACTCCGTCAATTGTTTGATACATCGTGGATATATGTATATAGGTCCAGGTATGCATCCAGTGTTATAAATTTAGTTCGATCGAGAATTACCTTCTTAAATTAGTCGTATGAGGCGACTAAGGGGATCGGGTGGTCAGGCTCGCTGACTTGGTTGATGCTTTTTATCGTATTCCAATTCCATGGATCGATGCTCCAGTCAATCACTGGATTGTCTGGTCCAAACTCGATTATCGCCGTCATGTAGCTGGATTTTTGCTGTCCAGCGTTAAGCAACAAACAAATAAACAAACATATCTTAAATTTGTACGCAAAGAGAAAATTTGATAATATATACTACTTGCTGGATTTATGATCTCATGTCTGCTTACATTCTTCCATAAACATTTGGCAGTCGATTTGCTGATTTTGAGTTCGAGCCCAGATTAGCAACCTCGGTGTTTCCTGAAAGTGTCGAAATATTAACGTGGCGTTAACCGCACCAACTAACCCACCATCCCTGTATATATGTCATCTTCGTACATCATGCCCAGCCCACATCGTACGACCCTGTCCATAGCATGCTCTCTTCGATAAGCTTTAATACTGCAGATGTGGTGGTAGAGGACGCCATCGAGCAATACCGAAAGGCTGGACGACCCAAAGTAACATGTGACCAACATACCTAAGAATATACCTCCCTGTTTGCACAGGACACCATTTTTTTTTTTATGAACACCTTCCCAAAGAACAAGTGGGTTACAAAAAACCGTGACATTACAAATGGCACGACAATATAAGCCTTGGTTTGGGATTAAGCAGAGCTTGCGGTGAACGATCGATGACTACCTTTACGCAATATTTACTCACCCTTCCTGGTGTTATTCAGTCTCCGGAGAGATAAAACTTTAATTTAATTCTTGCCATTTCAAAAACCGAAAATTATGAAAGGATCGTTAAAGGTTTTTGTGCAAACATTGCAAAATTGCAAACCAATGATTTGTGGCACTCTGTTACGGAAGCGTAGTAGGGCCACGGTGAAATTATTTTTTGGGTCTAAGTATCTTCTACCTAGGACTTAGTATCTCCTACGTAGGACTTACTATCTCCTACGTAGAACATAGTAAGTCCTACGTAGAAGAAACGAAGCTACTTAGACAAAAATAATTATCACCGTGGCCCCACTACGCTTCCGTACTCCATCCAGGTGATCATGGCATGTTTGGGGGATCGAAGTATTTGCCTCTATTAAGTGTTTGACTTTATTATCGCATAATATTTGACTACCTATTTCTTAACGTCACTGTACCCACCGCCTCGGTTTAATGTGTTTATGTGTAATTAGTGGAAGACACTACCTTTCGTGCGAGCGGATTTACACGATAAACTACTTTCTTCAATACTTGCTCTGAAACAACACACGGTATTTCTGTAATATCGAACACTGGTTTTATTAACCCTCGAAAGTGATATTCGTTTGATACCACTTTATTTCAATAATAAACCACGTGTTTGTTAACGTATACAATTAATCATTTTCTAAAGCGTGGCCCTACTGTATAGGGTTCAGCCAAGGTGCCGATGCTTGTGAATTGGGTTTCTAGCATTTTCATCAATAAAATGGAAACTGTTTGTTGTTGTTGAAATATCCCTTAACGTCATTTGGCAAGGGGGTCGTACCGTCAACCTTCCGCTCTCCGGGAAGACGCTCTATCCACTACACCACGGAGGCTGTTTACAAAGAAAAAGTTATGTACAGAAAACCAACGACCTACGAAGAATAACGGATTATCTGTCTCGCTTTAATAAAGGTGTGGGGCGGTCGGGTAGCCTAGTGGTTAAAGCGTTCGCTCGTCAGACCCGGTATCGAATCCCGACATGGGTACAATGTGTGAAGCAATGCCGTGATATTGCTGGAATATTGCTAAAAGCGGCGTAAAACCATACTCACTCACTAAGGAGTTCGCTCGTCACGCCGAAGACCCGGTATCGAATCCCGACATGGGTACAATGTGTGAAGCCCATTTCTGGTGTCCCCCGCCGTGATATTGCTGGAATATTGCAAAAAGCGGCGTAAAACCATACTCACTCACTCACTAATAAAGGTGTAAGTCCGGAGCCTTTGGCGATGGATACACAACCTTCATTCGCGAGAGTCAGATAAGCTGTAATTCAAAGAATCGAGTAGGTAATTTTATAGAATACTCATTGACGTTTTAAGAGAGAAATTGTAAAACGTTTGATATGTCAACCCTACGAACTTCACTGAAGGCTCCCTATTCAAATGACGTAAGGTAAATAAAAGCGACAAAACCCTTTCCCTATTTATTTGAAATCTCTGCCAAAGGCAGAGGCCATTGTACGCTTCTGACAATATCGTGAGCATGCGTCCATGAATCACCATCGAGCGTATCCTGCCCCACCGGTGGCACCCGTCACAAACGCATGCAAGGGCAAGTCAATTGTTCACCTTAAAAAAAACACGGGAACATATGGTACAAGTCTAAATAGGGAACTGCATGACTTTTGTCATTGATGCGTCAAATGTAAACAGTTAGTGACGTTATGAAAACTGGATTACGTCATGTCGTATTTATCTCAACAATGAAGCACTGTGACGTCACATGGCTTCAAATGATCAATTAACACTTAGAATCCCTAAAATGTACATGTGCAAATATCGACAAGTTATTACACACGATCATTATACTCTTATGAATAATATTCAACGTTAAACCATCGTCTCCTGACGCTTACTTACGCCCTAAATAACAAAGATGTACCTATATTTTTATTAGTGGTTCTGTTTAATTAATTGAACTAATTCAATGAGTATCTTCTGTTTCAGACAATGGCGAAGTCGGGCTGCTGGGGGTTATCGTTCTTGAAGCGCACGTGCAGAGGATGCAGGCGCCATCTACTGGCCTGGTTGGTAGGAATCGTGTTGCTGTACTCCATCTTCTTCGTATCCCAGTATGTTGTGCTGAACAACAGTACCGTCAAGAGTCTACGTGCCTATGACGTCATATCACGTGATTCTGACGTCATACCAAAAGCTTACTCCCGTTCGTATGAACCACCAACGTGGGGAAATGTTTCTGGATTAAGGGACGAAATAAAACCGTTATTGATACAATACACACTGTCCTTAAAGAAAAGGGGATCCACTGAAGTGCTCAACGTTCCTTGGAACGGACCTGAAATTGACTTCCAGAGCGATGCTTGTGGAAATGTGAAGACAATAAAAACAACTTCCAAAGCCACAATTATTATCAACTTGCATGGCGCCAGGGTTGATAAGGCACTGACGTCATTATTTCACGTTATAAAACTGACGAATATTAGTCTTGTGGAAGATGTGATCATAATTGGTGATATGGGACTTCCGCTTCTCTATCGTGATGTGTATGAGCTTTTTTCGGATTATCTTCCTACATTCCGTCTTTTCATATCACCCAAGAGGACAACCGTTACCCAAGCCAGGAAATACGCTGCAAAGTTTGCCCACGGTGAGATCATTGTCTTCCTTGACGGACTTGTGGTGGTAACAAAACACTGGCTTGAACAAATTATGACGGCCATCTTGGAAAATCCTAACAGCATTGTGCAACCGTTGATTATCACGAATCAAACGATCTTAGATAAAAACGGTCGACCCATGTATATTCATAAGAGAGAAATCCAATTAGATTTGACCCTAAAGGAGGTTAAAGTTCCAGTTTCAATGGCGGAAAATTCTTGGTCGAAGGAGTCATTGATCTCAAGCACAGCGTTTGCATTGAGGAAAGAGCTTTATGAAAATCTGAGAGAGTTTGATGAATATTCTGGGCTGACTGATCTGGAAACGATGGTGTTGTCGCTGAAGTCGTGGATGTGCGGCGAAGGCGTCGTGACGGCGCAGTGCGCCACTGTCATACTTCAGTCTCCCACCAGCGCAGTTGACAAGAGCCCTGCAACATCGTCTGCCATGACAGGCAAGACAACATTGTTGAAACGCTACCGCCATCTTCTGTTTGTTGCTGCTGTTTGGTTGCCCCCTTATGATGAAGTTTACAAATGCCTGCTTCCCAAGTCAAAACAGGTTCGATTGACTTACATCGACAAGAGAAATATCCGGATGTATAAATTGTTTTATAATCGCCTAAAATGTAGAAAGTTCACAGACTTTATCAAACTCGTGCAACCAAATTTTATTAAACCTGAACGCAATACTACAGGTCACGGTGCTTTGAGTGTTGAAGGTCATGACCTTTACTTGACAAGGTCACGTAACGGATCCTTGACCTTTTTGTCTGACCTTGCTCCAAGTTCTCATCCATTCACATATGCCAATTCTAAGTTAACCGTTAGTGGGTTGTGCGTTACTTTTCAACCAAACAATAAAATATTTTTAAGGAATTGCGAGAAAAAAAATTTAAATCAAGATTGGCTGTACAAAGATGGCCAAATACGACTGATGAGAAATACGCACTTGTGTATCGTCAGAGACAGGAACGCCACTATACCCTCTGTGTACCCATGCAGAAGCAAACATGTTGTTGCCAAATTTACCTTCACCTTTAATTTTGCTGTAAATTGTATCAAATAATTAATTATTTATTCATATTGCGTTTTTTTTGCAAATAATTAAAATATTTATTCTGTACGTGTTTGTTTATAACTTGTGAAACCAATGAAATAATGAAAGATATTCGACTAATTGACTATTACGTTCGACCCATGCGATACGACTAAGGGTTAGTGAGTGAGTTGGGTTTAACGCTGCGTTGACCAATATGTCATGATGCAGGCAAGTGTAAGTCATGCAAATCTTTGATGTTTCGCATTTCGTTGAAACCCAACCGCACGGGTATGGCGCTGACATACTGCGAAAAACAATCAGGACGAATCTTAGGATTCTGGCATGCCTAAGGGGCGTAACTCTGCACATCGAATTGCTGCGCCTCAGACGACTGATCCCCCCGTGCTCCCGTCAATGGCAAGATGAGCTAAGCTCTTCAAAGCGAATTGTGTTGCTTCAGACAAATGGACACCCATAGCCCTACATGATATTTCACCCAGGAGTGAGTGAGTGAGTGAGTGAATATCAGCAGAAACACTTCACACGGGTCTGTTAAGTGATATTGATCTGAGTTTTGATCAGACAAACCAGTGGTCGATAGTGTGAGCTGCGATCCTCTGTTTCGGAGTACGACAACAGAATGAGCTCAGCCAAAGCCTTACAGATGGCCTTTCGTCATACGTTTCACGTTGTGGCCATATACTGTAAAACAGGAAATTAATGCGAGCAGAATATTCTTTTACATACTTAGGTTACATTAATTAAAATAACACAGAACATAAATCCAGCGCATATTTTTTTAGGAAAGGGTATGGGCACTCGCATTATTAAAATGCGCATTTATGTCTAAAATCAAGAGCTCGCATTATTTTCATGTCGCATGAAATTCCTGTTTTACAGTATGTGAACAAATCAACCCCTGCTGCCTGGGTACGATGCGACACAAGTTCAGCCAGAGATAGACCTCTATTCCACTTTAAGACATAATTTTAGTTCGTTATAACCGTAGTTCGTTAAAAGCCTATATACATCAGCCGCCTCCATGGTCTAGTGGTAGAGCTGCCGCCCGGGTTCAAACCCCGCCCGCGTCATACCAAAAGACGTTAAAAGATGGTACTTGTTGTTACCCTGTCCGGTGCTCGGCATTAAGGGGCTAAAACAAGGACTGGTAGGCTAGGAGTTAGTATACTGTGTCTGAGTGGGGTATTCATGTTAAACTGCGGCATGGTATCTCAGTGAGCTAACACTATAAATCGGCATCAGTCCGGACTAGTACAAGCAGCCACACACACACACACACACACACACACACACACACACACACACACACACTCACTCACTCACTCACTCACTCACTCACACATACACACATACACACACACACTCACTCACTCACTCTCACACACAGACACACAGACACACACACAGACACACACAGACACACACACACATGTACAGCATATATACAGTAAATTGACGGGTTATATCTGTCAGTTCTTTATAAGCGAGTTCGATATAAACATAATTTACTGAACAAATTGCTGGAACAAATAGTACAGATATATACTGCAGTAGAAGTGATAACACAAACAACAGAACTCTCTCAATCTAGTAGTAGTAGTAGTAGTAGTAGTAGTAGTAGTAGTAGTAGTAGTAGTAGTAGCAGTACTATTCCGCCATTGCATGTTACTTGGGGTTGTAATTGTGTTGTGATATATGTATTGTACTGTAATCCCTGTAGCACCAGATCTTTCCGCATTCGGACAACATGACGGCGGGTTTAAGAAACAACATATTATATGCTAAATAAGTTTGAAACATAGATAAAACATGGAGAGAACATTTATTACGAGAACTGCTTTATACATGCATATTCATAAATAGCCAAGACTTCACAGGTCGGGTTATGTCATTGTACATAATGGTCACGTGTTATGGTCATGTGCCACGTGTCACGATAGAACGTTCCAATTGCAGTTATTGTTGATGGAACACAACGAATTCATATTGTGACAGCTAATGCATAGAATACTTGAAATTGTATTATGCTACCTTCATGCGAAACACAATCGCCCTGGGTGCCGAGGATGATACGGAAGGTCTCATACGAATTTGTTTTATAAAAATAATGTAATAATCTCCCTCTTAGAATGAACCACCGGGTCTGTGAAAAAAACAAATTCAAGCGTGACAGACACACCTGCAATAATCACTGATTAATAACCGGCAATATTACACATTTATATTTCTAATATATTCCCGAGCTACACAAGCTATTCAAAACACGAAGCCTTGGCTTTCTGTACATGCTGTAATTAAAGCATCAGAAAGGTGTGTTATTGATTTAGTGGCTTTTCGGTCTCACGCATATCATGGCTCTTAGGCTGATTAATACATGTACAACTCGTGACAAAAGACATGGGATAATTTAATTAAATACACGAGACTGCAGAATAATATCAGGTACGGTAGAATTAATCCGCGGGTTGGCGGGGCAGGAAAGACTGGCACTCTGTCACCTGTCAGCCTCCCGCGGGAGCTTGGTGCCACGCCTCGTGGTTGTATATACAGATCAAGATGAGATGTGTACCTTCATGTATGTCAGATATAAGCAGAGCTGTAAGACTGTGTCAGGTATAATCAGAGCTGTAGCACTATGTCAGGTATAAGTAGAGCTGTAACACTATGTCCGATATAAGCAGAGCTGTAACACTATGTCCTGGACAATAGTAGGGCTGTAGCGCTATGTCAGGTATAGGCAGGACTGTAACACTGTGTCAGGTATAAGCAGAGTGGTAACACTATGTCAGGTATAAGCAGAGCTGTAACACTGTGTCAGATATAAGCAGAGCTGTAACACTATGTCCTGGACAATAGCAGGGCAGTAGCGCTATGTCAGGTATAAGCAGAGCTGTAACACTATGACCTGAACAATAGCAGGGCTGTAGCGCTATGTCATATATGAGCAGGACTGTAACACTATGTCAAGTATAAGCAGAGCTGAAACACTATGTCCTGGCGATAGCAGGGCTGTAACACTATGTCAAGTATAAGCAGAGCTGTAACACTGTGTCAGATATAAGCAGAGCTGTAACACTATGTCCTGGCGATAGCAGGGCTGTAGCGCTATGTCAGGTATAAGCAGAGCTGTAACACTGTGTCAAGTATAAGCAAAGCTGTAACACTATGTCCTGGACAATAGCAGAGCTGTAACACTATGTCAAGTATACGCAGAGGTGTAACACTATGTCCTGGCGATAGCAGGGCTGTAGCACTATATCAGGTATAAGCAGACCTGTAACAGTATGTCAGGTATACGCATGTCAGGTATATGTCACGGACATTAGCGGGCTGTGGCACTATGTCCAGGACAATAGCAGGACTGTAACTCTATGTCCAGGACAATAGCAGGACTGTAACACTATGTCCAGGACAATAGCAGGACTGTAGCACTATGTCCGGGACAATAGCAGGACTGTAGCACTGTGTCCAGGACAATAGCAGAACTGTAGCTCTATGTCCTGGACATCAGCAGGATTGTTGCACAATGTCACGGACAGCTGCAAGACGGTAGCACTATGTCTAGGACATTAGCAGGACTTCCATTGTCAGCTATCGCTTCCTGTATGAAAGAAGTGCTATTGTTCATACGGCCACAACACTTTAAAACCTCAGCAGGATACGAACCTGCAAACTGCTGATTTGACATCATAACACTACCACCTGCAATATTCTGTAGTCACCATGTAGTCCTCTTATCAAGGAGATCGTTGGGATAGTAGTTGGGCGCAGTGTTGGATAGCAACTATGTGCTGGCATTGAAGTGTGCGAACCTTGGATCGTTACATATTGTTGTAAGCGTTGTTTCGTGCCTGTACATATACATACACATGTTAATATTGTACCAATTTCGTTGTTAGTCCTGGTGGTATATGTGTTAAGAGAATCCAATTTTAACATCTGATTCTTATCCATATTTACCTTAATGATTTACACTTCTCATAGCTTGTATAGTATACACCCCAGGGAGCTGATAGTGCAAATTTAATCCACACGGATTTCTTGGCTTGGTTTCCATAGCGTCTTAAGCATTCACTTGGTGAATGGAATCTGGCGCATTATAAATGGACTTATATCTTACAAGAAAGTCAACGCTCATTGAAGCAAAGTGTCCTGTAACTCCCTGTGAGACTACGTATTTTCCAGTAAACAAGAAGACAGAGCATTAGCGTGCCCGACCTCGACAGAGGAACTGGCAGACTTGATGGAGGAGAGATGCTGACAATCTCTTGGCCAACAGATGACCTACAGAGGGCACACGACCCGTCTGTCTGGCTACAAGCCCGCAGGACATTAAACGATGTGGTTGGACTACAGAGAGTTCTAACATTCCAGCTGAAAGTCAAATCTTTGAGTGTCTGTGTGAGTGATTGAGTGACTTGTCCTTCCCCTTATATCTCCCGGCCTGTCAGCTGCAGTTCCGTATGTGTAGCATCTTCTCGAGGCAAGGGAGTTAACTGAATGTAAAAGTCCAGTTTCAATCAATGCCGAACTGGGCTGTAATGTCTGGGTTCGATTGTAGTGCCACCGGTGGATATTATGAGTTATGTCCCCTCTATGTCCCTCCTATTGACCAATCAGATTCTACCTCTCATATCACTTGCATTTGCTTCAAACAAAATGGCGGCGCAAAATCTTTATTGTAATAATATAACGGGTCTTACATGTATTTCGCGAAGTGCATCAAATCATGTGGGCACCTTGATTTAAAACATGAAAAGGTTTGGAAAATATCAGTTGACTCCGAGTTGGCGGTACACATTCTCTGCCAATCTGCACTGCAGCCTACCAACTATTGGACTATGCATAGCCTCGTTTGTCCAGCCAAAATATAACTCCATAATTCCAGTTCGGCAAGGGTGGAAACTGGACTTTTATAATCAGTTGACTCCCTTGTTGACTTGGGAAGATGTATGGGTAGGCTCGCATATTAAAAGGAGAACTAGGCTCAGGCAAATTTGAACTGCAAGCAAGTTTGTCCATCAAACACCGTGTAAACATGCACAGATACAAGATCA